CGCCCGTGCGGCGGGGCGCGATGGAGCCGGGGAAGTGCCGGAGCCCCGGCATCGCTTCGTGATCCCCTGCCACCGCCCGGGAGGTGAGTGCGTGGCGTGACACCCGGGACGTGGGGAGAGGAGGGAATGCGTTTTGCTTTGAGAAGAATTGTCTCGATCCAATTTGGCAACCAGAGGTTCTTTTACTGCCTTTTTAAAAAAAAAAAAAAAAAAAATTCCCCAAAAGGAATAACATAGACTTGAATTTAAACGATTACTACTATTCTGTCCAGTCTCACTATAATAATGTTTTATATGTTGCTTTACCTTTCCCTTAAGCTTTCTCATTATTGTTCCAGTTATAATGAACTGATAGCTAAAGGACAGCATGCAGGGTTTTTTTCTTTTTTAAATTATTTTAATGTTATAAACCTATCAAAATGCTTGGTATCTTTTCACAGTCACTGTCTATTTGAGACCCTCTGCTAAATCCCCTTTATCTCTTAATTTTTTTACACAAATAAAACTCCTGCATCTTTTAGGAGATTTCTTTTTTTCAGTCTGAGTGTTGATGGAAAAACTTCAGAATTATGTAATCTAACAGCGGACCTACTTGACACATGACCCAAAGGTGAAGCCGTCTGTTGGTCTTTAATTTCAGATATCCTAATCCTTTCTTCTCAGAATCACTAATTTCTTCTTTATGCCTTAAAGGAAAGATAATTCATTATGAAAGCTTTGTGAGTAGTACATGCTACAGCTAATATTGCTAATGTATTTTTTAATGTTTTTGCAAGAACAGATTTGTGAATTCTGGGGACCTAAGTCTAAAGCCAAAAAAGACCCTAAAACCCACAGGTTAACCTGTTTTGAGAATAAGGTTCTGTCTGTTCTTCCTTGGCATGTAAATTTAATACTTTACCAGGTCAGCTTGAAAAAACAAGGTGCTGTAGCCAAGAGGATACTTCTCTAAAGCATTAGCTTTTAGCACTGAATAAAGGTTAAGAACAACTCTGTTTAGTTGGATCATTTCTTCTGTATTTTTAGATTCTATTGAGGTGGCTTCCTCAAAGACCTGTCTCGTTTCCCTGGAGTACTACCATTGTCCTAAAACACCCATTGCCCCTTTTTTTTCTTCTTTTCTTCAAAGCCAGATTAACTGTTTTGCTGATATTAATAACTATGAAAGTAGAACAGCTATTTGTATGTTGGTGGGTGCTTTAAGTATAGTGGTAGATGATAGATGACCATATATTTATTGTATCTAGCTTACCGTAGTATTTTGGAAACAATGTCTGCCTGTCATCCATGTAACTGGAAAGAATTTTTACTTCCTAAATGACAGAACCATTTTAAAAAAACAAACACCAAACACCCCCCCCCCCAAAAAACCTCAAACCCAACAGGTGTAATTTGACTGTTTGCAATGTCATTGAAAATTGTATCAGTAACGTTTTTTGGGAAACATTGTGAAGAGAGGTTGAACTTGATACAAGAATCAAATACTGCATTTCCTCCTCTTATTTCTCAAGATCTTTCTTGAATTCAAAGAGTCTTGAATTTAGTCCTGGAGAAGCAAGCTTTAGCCTTCTGAAGTGAGAGGCCACTTGTCTACGACTGTGCAATAGAGGTGTACTACAAGCATACTAAAATAGATATGTATTGTCTTGAATGATGCCCCTCATAGCGTTCAAGAGGATGTACTTCTCAGTGGTTCCTATACCCTTCCTCTGCGTTCCCTTTTTGATCCTTGTGTTTGTTAAGTAACAATCACTGGGCAAGTCCCAGATGTTGAACTGATTGTCTGGTGACACAAATTGGATGTGTTGGATATGCTTATAGGAATGTTGTCAAAAAGGTAGCTCATTGTTTTGTTTATACTTCTGCATTCCCATTACCTAGTGCAGGTAAGATGTGTTCCTTTGTACTCATTTTATGATGAAAAGCTACAGTTAACTTTTTTAACTTGCTTCAGTAAAGACCTCTTGCAGGTATTGCTGCACATGGAAGAATTGGAACTGGAACTGCTTCACAGGCAGGACTTAGTGCACAGCATACCCTCTTCAAGTTTCCAGTGATAAAGTTTCCTGTCTCCAGAGGAGGTCTGAGAAGGCAAACCCAGGCATTGATGCTTGAAGGCATTCATGCCTTTTCTTGTTTGCTTGCCTCAGAGTTTAAGACAGTTTGCTTGGTTACTATAACATTAACGATTAAACTTATAATTAAATAGTAACAAATCATGATGACTTAGTATTTGTTTCTTTTCAGTTACCCATGGATGTATAGTCTCCACAATCAAACTGTTTCTTCCAGATGGAATGGAAGCTCGATTGCGATCAGAGTAAGAATCAGTATCTATTCATGTGTAGCAAAATTAAACTACTGTATAATGAGGATTTGATGGATATTGTTTCAAGTCAGCATAGGAACAGTTTCTTTTCCTGTGATCATGCAAAGAAAATAACTGACAGCATGGTTCTTTTGCAAGCATTGTAAAAAAGAAATCTCATTTGCTTGTTGCTTTTAGAAATTAAGACAACTGTGAAAGAATAAAAAAGTTGTTACCAAGTTGTGCTTTTCTGGCTGTGGTTTAGTATACTGGAATGGGTATTATGAACAGAAGAATATAGGAAAAAAGCAAGCAAATGAGCATTCTCCTTCCCTCTTTTTTTTATTTGGGATTAGTATTTTTGCTGCTTTAAATGCAGCTAGACTTTACTAAAGAGATGGTGTGTCTGTGTACGTACACATAACATTTTATATTCTTCAGCTAAGTAATACAGTAACATGTCCTCGTGGTGCAGTTATTTGGTGTCACAATGAAAGAGCTTTGCCTGGCATGAGGAAAAAAAAAATCATAAAATATGTTAGATGGAATAATGTTTGGAAACTCAGATGAATATTGAGAGGGTTTTCTGTGTATATGTGCCTATTTTTGGGAAAACTTCAGAGAGCAGTAGAAACAAAAAATGTAAACTTTTTTGCAGTAACTGAGTGCTAATTAAAAGTTACGTAATTTTAATCATCTTTCATCTGCAGCAATTGTATGAATTGATTGTTTATTTAAATATTCTTTTGTCATTAATATCCAGTAATATTTGCATGAAGCTTTAGGGTGTCTTTTTGCTTCTGGGAAGTCACAATAAATTATTATGGGAAATTTTCCATGTAATTGCATGTCCTAATAAGAAATAGTAGAAATATATGGTGTGAAGTTTTTAATTCTGATGAAAATGTGGAAGTATAACATTTGCTGCAGTGGAAGTGCACAAAATTCTAGAAGTTACCAAATATTATTTTACTCAGCTTGCTGAATTTGTGAACGAGAGTAGTATATCCACTCTCTCTTCATATCTATTGTTTTGTGCATGTAAATTCATTTAAATCTTAATAAATCAGTTTTAAGGTCAAATACTATGTAACTACTGAAATAAAAGTTGGTAAAGAGAGTTTTTAGAATAGACCTTGGATTTATAATTTGAAAATAGTTCTGTAACTTTGAAAACATTGCTCAGGATAGTTTTAACTGGTTTTGTATATTTGTATATTAACTCTTCATTTTTATCTGAAGAATACACTTAAAAATTTGATTAAATGTATGGTACTAAGGATCATCTGGATTTTTAAACTGCTATTATGCACTTTGTAGTCACTTTTTAATTTTTTTTTTTAGTGTTATCCATGCTCCATTACCAAGTCCTGTTGACAAGGTAATTCAGTAATTTGCTGTTTTCTACCTTATTCAGCCATGTGCTGTTTTCTGACTTGTTATAAAGTTGAAGAAATGGTCAAGTCCAGTTACATTTAGATATGTTTTCCACTGCCTGTTTTAACCTAGTTTAATATTTTGAGTGACATTTAAGGTAGAGAAGGTAATGCAGTATCGCAGTGTATATTTTAAGGTAGCTTGACTTCTTACAGTATGGCATCTGAAACATGGCTTTGAAAAAACCCTGTTGATGTTAAGATGGTTAAGTTTCCAGGTACAGGTTGACTGACCAAAAAGTCTTGGGTATTGCATGATTAATACTTGATTTGTTCTGTGGGGCTCATGATTTGGTGTTTTGATGAGTTCTGTTGTCCTTGTATCTTGTTTTTTTATGGAGGAGAGAGAGACTGTACTGCACAGACTGGAAAATGCTCTGACATCTTCCAAAGGAAGATTGAGACTAAACCTCTCTGCTCCCCTTGTACAGATACAGCTGAAGTCACTCACTGTAGAGTCATGGAGTCAGTAATGTCTAGTGTAATTTTTAAATTCAATTTTGATAATGTGGGGGATGTGTAGAAAAGCTGTTAATAGATACACTGTTGAGACAAGTGATCAGGAACTGATCATCTGTCTAGCCTCTCAAAAGGATTATCTTAAATAGGTTCAAATCAGAGTTTTAAACATGAATAACAAGTTTCCTTAGTTTCTCAAAATTTTATTTGCAAAGTTAGCAGCCCGAGGAGTTCATAGACTTTGCATTTAAGTTGAGGTTTCAAAACAGCATATGTAGCTTGAATCCAGGGCAAGGGCAGAAATTCTGAGGAGGGGCAGCAGGTATAACTGTATGAAAAAAAAACCTAGCTTCAAAACTATGTCAGTGTACGAAAAGCCTACAAGAATTAGTAAATAAACACTTTTGCCTTCCCCACCCACTCTCCCACACCCCACCCACCCCCCCCAACTCCAGAACAGTTTCTGGGACTGTAGAAAGTATAAAGTAAGACTTACCAAAAACCATTTTGATTCTTAAATTCCTTTATTTTTCAGGTTGCTGCTAACACTCCCAGTATGTATTCTCAGGAATTGTTTCAGCTTTCACAGTATCTACAGGTAACTTTTCTCTTGACAGTGTTAGTTTGGCTAAATATTTAATCTTTGTTCAAAACACAAATCTTATGCTCTGTATGTCTGTGTTTGGCTTGTATTTTGTGAACTGGAACATAATAAGCATTTAACTACCTTTTTCTGTGGTGAAATAATGAAAAACATTATTGCCCAGAGAGGTGGTAGATGCCCCTTCCCTGGAAACATTCAAGGTCAGGCTGAACGGGGCTCTGAGCAGCCTGATCTGTTGAAGATGTCCCTGCTCATTGAAGGGGTTGGACTGGATGACCTTGAAAGGTCCCTTCCAACCCAAACTGTTCTATGATTCTATGTTGTAATTGAACATAGTATAGTTCTATGTAAACTTTTGGGGTTTTGCATGAGCAATATGAAATATGACTTATAAAAGAGACATGAAAGCTCCCTTTTTTATAGAAGGCTCCCTGAACCCTCTATACTTGCTTTTCTTGGCCTTTCTCCTATCCTGCCTCATTGTACCCCATTTTCTTTTGCTCCCAATATTTTTGACATTATCCACTGCTGTGGATGTACTGTGTATGCCTATAAAAGTTTTGGTAGAACGAAAGAACGGCAAAACATGAGGTCATTTCATGTATCTAGAACTAGTTTGTCTCTGTGAATATAACTTCTTAGTGTGAATATTTCTGTCCCTGTTTTTATTGGAAAGTACAAAGGAGGGGACGGTGTTGGCAGCTATTCTTCCTCATTGGCATCACCAGCCTTTCTGTGCCTGCTCCTGTGTCAGTTTTAATAGGTGTGTTGTTAATAGGTGTGTGTTTTCCTAAGGTGTCATGTCACAAAAGGCTTAGACTGCAAAATGGGAACACATTAAAATGTGTTTATACATATTATATAATATGTATAAATAAACTCTTTAGAAAGGATCATAAAATGAGCTTTCGGGAAAAGATGTGGAAACATTCTTACTGGTAAATTTTATGTAGCTTTAATTTATGTATAATTCTGCTGACTTATTTTGCCTGTTTTTGTTTGGTAATGGCAATTTTTATTTATTCACATGAATGATGAGGCTTTTGAGACAGATACTAACATTATATGTATTTGCTGACATAGCAGGAAGCAGCTCAGGCAGATGCTCTTTCTTGGGATGGCCAAATACATACTCACCAATCTGTTCACTCTCTGTATCCTGGAATTGTTAATGAAGATGCTTTTTTATCTTACTGTCATAAAACAAAAATCAAACAAAAATAGTAGTTCTTGCTTGGCATTTTTCTCTTGTGACCTGATTTGGGGATGAACAGCTCATTGCATGAGAGCTGCCAAGCTGCCTTTTGGTGTTTACAATTTTGTTAAGTTATTGACAAAAGTAAAAATGTGTTTAAGTCTTGGAAAGAATAACTTGTTATTATGTGTACTCAGCATGTGCAACGTATGCATAGAAAATGAAGGGATTTAGGAACCTGATTATAGGTTAGGAAACAAGGTTATAGGATAACATTTTCTAATTAAAATATCCCAATAAGTGTATGAATAGATAAAATAGGATGGGCTTATTATAGCTTTGAATATGTGATGATGTTTGCTGCTCACACTTCCTTTTTTTTTTTCCTTGTATTTTGGTATCTCTTATGTTGCTTCTGTTGTTCTGAGTTGTTCCAGCTGAACTCACTGGTGCTCTGCTCTCTTCATAGGAAGCCTTACATCGGGAACAAATGTTGGAGCAGAAGCTGGCAACCCTTCAGCGACTACTTGCTGTCACGCAAGAGGCTTCAGATACTAGTTGGCAGGTACCTGCAGACATCCTTTTCCTTTATGGACTGAAGTATGCAGTAGCGTATAAATTTTAGCTATTAATTTACAAAAAATGGGGGAAAAAAGCAGCAGAAGGAATAAAAAGCCTCTGGCGGTTCTCAAACTGTGCAAAAGATATTTTTTAACAAGTTTAGTGATCGTGTACCAGTTTGAAAAAACTATTTGTAGTGAATACTCCAACAAAATTAAAGTTTTTAAAGCGGAACTCTACTGGAACTACATAAAGCACATTTTAATACTAAGGTGATTTTTTTTTTTTTTTCTGCTAGGCTTTAATAGATGAAGACAGGCTGCTATCAAGATTAGAGGTTATGGGAAATCAATTACAGGCATGTTCAAAGGTAAGTAGTTCATTTAAATCTGAATGCTAGGAATGATGAAAGATAGCTCTTTTAAAGTGTTTTGAAATTAGTTATAGGAAAGCAGTTAGAACAATTTTGATAATCTGAATAGCATGAAAACTGTAGATCTGTATTTCATGGAATCACTTTAAAACTAGATAAATGGCTCTTTTCCAGCATTTTTTTAGCATGAACTGATTTCTTTTGTATATGCATATAGGCATATCTATACTGAAATGCAGAAAAGGAATGTCATCTATGAGAAGCAACCATTCTGTCCGGTTTCCTATGGATGTGTCTTTCCAGATAGGGATTTGAAAAGCATTATCAATGCCTGATATTCAGAGGCGGAGTTACAAGTATGCCCTGCCTTGATTGTTGTTTAGGCCACCTATGCCTGCCTTAGATTTTTATTTTGTATTTTATGTTTTAGATTCCTCTCAATTACCTACATTATAAGAACTTTTTTTGCATGTCCTGTTTGAGGTCTTTCAGATGGGACCTTGTAGGTTTCTGCTTTGTCAAATGGTTGGTCTCCTAGGCTTGACATTCTCAGCAATGCCCAAAAAAGCCTCATAGTTTTCCTACAATCAAAGCTGATCGTTGAATGTGTGCTACCATACGTACACTTAAAAAAATAATTGGTTTATACCCAGTTCATGTCTGGAATCTTTAATCACTGATTTGTCCATAACATTTTCCCAGCTACCAGAAATTGCTAAACATTTTGGAATAGAACAGGTTTTATCACAGCCTCATATATTGAATCAGCAAAGTACTTATTTATGTTCTGTCTTTGTATCTGAATTATCTTTTATGTACAGAATCAAACAGAAGACAGTATACGAAAAGAGCTTATAGCATTACAAGAAGACAAACACAACTATGAGACAACAGCCAAAGAGTCCCTGAGGCGGGTCCTTCAGGAGAAAATCGAAGTGGTCAGAAAACTGTCTGAAGTGGAGGTATTGAAGTTTCATGCCTAGTCTTCTGGAAATGCTGGAATAGTTATAAGTGCTGCTACTTAGATCCCTGGTTTGTTGCCTGTAATATGCCAGTATTTGTTGTATTGTGGCACTTGCAGTATATTAAGTAGTAGTGTTTATTTCTCCTATTGGACAATATTTTTAAACAGTTGATGAGAAACTGTTCTTTAAACTCCTTTTTTTGCAAGATTTCAAAATTCACGAAGCTGTCTTACGGAAGGTAGTATGTGTGGGAAATAAATGAGGGGGAAATGACATACATGCATTAGAAAAAATGCTATTAGACCTTGTTTAAACTGTAAAATTTATGGAAATGTAAGCTTAACCACTCATACAAATTACTTAAGAATAAGCTTTTACAATTACAAAGTGTTGGACACTTTCTGCAAGTAAGATTTCTGCCCCTATAATGCCTCTTATTACTATCTTTTCCTTTATTTTCTCTTTCTGTTATCATTATTTGCTATGTTCGCTTAGGTCAAGAAATATAAGATTTAAAATTAAGTGCACAAAGTGTCTACCCTCTTCATGCTTTTTAGGGAATGTGATGTATATAGTGCTGTAATAAATAACCTTATGAGATTTCACTTAAATACACCTTTTTATATTGTGATAGTTTTTGAGAGGTTTGTTAGTGATTGGAGTTTTATGTTTCCTTCTAGCTTTCTTCTTTCCAGTCCTATACTAAGAGAAGAATCTTCTGACTTACTATACTTTTTCCTTTTTACTTTGAGTCTTGGGGGAGAAATACTAATTTAACTTTAGCAAGAGATCTGCTTGGGTGCTTCCTGCGACATACTTTTCTCTCCACACAGAAGAATCATTGGGTCCTGGTTGAAAGTTGTCCTTTATTATATAATGTAGTTTTGAATGCACTTTTGTTTAAAGGTGTTTCTTTTTCGGTGGTGAACGAGAACTAAGGGAGAGCTTATTACAAAAAAAAAAATTTAAAAAAAATTGTATGAATGAAGAAACAAATCTTGAGCTATGAGGAGGAAACTCTGTACACCATTTAGTTATGCTGCTTTAGTTATGCAAACTTCTGGAGCATTCCTTGCCTCCTGAAGACCCAGCTGCCTCTTGAGTAAGAGGATCTTAGTTTAGCTGCCTTTCCACATTATGGATTTCAGAAAAAGATTTAGAACACTTCCTCGGAGCCATTTGGCTCATGTAATGTGTTAAATCTTCTTTTGCTGGGTGAACGGTATGATGAAATCTATTGATTATATTGAATCACAAAATACTATAAAACTTTCACGATGTATCATAAAATAGAAGAGAATGGGGTAGATAGATCACATGTTTCAGTTCTTTATTCCAATCAATCACAGTTAATTGTATAATGTGGTGGTTTTTTCTTTAGGGATTTTTTACATGTGCATGAAGCTAATACCTTTTCACATAATCTGTTCTTTAAGTAGAACATTACAATGGTTTGTACAGATAGCAGTTTTGCCAAGACTTCATCTGTTTGTTTAGCATTAATGATTAGGATCAAAGTAGTTAAATATGATTAGTTACATATACTGTTTGGAAAAAATAGATCAACTTCAGTGTTTGGTAGACTATTAGTCTCCATTTTTTTATTTATTGCATAATAATTCTATCTTACAGCGGAGTTTAAGTAATACAGAAGATGAATGTACTCACCTGAAAGAAATGAATGAGCGGACTCAGGAAGAATTAAGAGAATTAGCCAATAAGTACAATGGGGCTGTAAATGAAATTAAAGATCTTTCTGACAAGCTAAAGGTAATGACAGAAATTCATCTGACTTATGATGCTATAAGGCATGGAACAAATAAATACAATTTAGCAATCAAATAGAGGTTAAGCAGCTTTTTAAACAACAGGAAAATGAAAGAAAGATGCACATAGTCTTTTACACATTCCTTTGGTTTACATTTAATGTACCAGAATGTGTTATCAGTTAAGTAAATTGCTAAAAAGTTTTCCTTTTTTGTTCACTTTGAAAGTTACCGTATTTTTTGGAGCTACAGTATATTTTAATATAAAAGGCGTGCGGTATAAAACTGCATTTAACTTTCAACCTAAACATCTTACAGTTAATGGGAATGCAAAGTAGAATTAGAAATAATTTTGTATTTCATGTTGCCTCATTGTGCTGTTATAAACATAACTAGCTTACCACATAGGAATAATATGGCTCAACTTCCAGGAGGAAGGAGCATGCTGTCAGATTTGTTATTAAACTAAATGTCTAAATACATTAGTATTTAAAGATCCTTCATGCTGGAGAACAAAATAATCACAATATGATAAAGCCTGTTTCCAAAGAGTCTCCAATCTATATAAGTAGATGATGTGGAGGAGGAAGGTAGTAGTGTTCCCTTTGTAGATCTGAGACAGTTGTTACATTTGTCTTGGATAAATACTGGAATTTGAACTGAGGTTCTTTGAGTCCTAGTTCAGCACCTCAGAAGATTTTTCTTTCTGAATGAAAATGGTAAATGACTGGTCTTAAGGCAATTGGTTTCCCAATTATGAGTTAATCACTGATGATGATGAGTATACACAAAAGGATTAAAATTGAAACTTACTACCTAGCTTAGAGGGAGGGGAATCTTTGAAAATTACTGTCATGAAATCCAGCAAGGAAAAAGATGCGGTTTTCAATCAAGTCAGTCTGTGCAATGTACATTCAGTTCAGGAGGAGTCTTGGGTTTTGATTTATTTGAGGTACTGGGAGATTCCTGGTGCTTCTTAGTTCTTGGGCCCTGGTACTGTTCCTGTAAAAATTAGGTTCTTCAGACAAAAGGTTAGTTAAGATATTTTGAAATTCTTTCTCTCTGTTACAGTACTTGAAGTGAAATTTATAGAAAAACAACAGTAGAAAAATTTTGCATTGTTTGCATTTTCTTTATCTGACCAGCAAAGGAAGCTACTTATGTACGTTTAGTGATATAAAAATCAAGCAAATCTATTCCTTTATATGTTAATTTTTATTTGTTTGGGGATTTTTTATTTTTTTTGAGCAGGTAGCAGAAGGAAGACAAGAAGAAATCCAACAGAAAGGACTGGCTGAGAAAAAAGAATTGCAGCATAAAATAGATGAAATGGAAGAGAGAGAGCAAGAGCTTCAAGCAAAAATAGAAGCTTTGCAGGCTGATAATGACTTCACCAATGAGCGGCTAACTGCTTTACAAGGTTAGTCACTAGTGGGGAAGAAACTTTGATTATTTGCTTTTCTTTTAATCTGTGAAATATCTTTTTCTTGGACTTCTGTTTACAGTACGGTTAGAACATCTTCAAGAGAAAACTCTTAAAGAACACAGCAGCTTAGGTAGGTGTGATCAGATTTTTGTTTCAAGCTGATTTCCAGATTTTCTGTTCAAATACTTTTACTATAATAATCTTGTAGTCTAGATGTCTGGCAAAAGAATAACGTTTTACAGTTACCTAGTAGTGCATTATTCTTGGTATCACTGAAAGACCTGTGGCCACAACAGAATGTCAGTAGAGGGCACTGCTGTTGTGAGTGTTCAGACTTCTGGGTCATGGCTCAATTTAGAGCTCTGTGTCCCCTCAGCTCCAAGGTTTTGAAAGTTTTTGTATATATACATACACACACACATATATACATATATGTGGAATATTTAAATATATATATGGAATAGGCAGTAGTTCTCCGGATGACAGTAAGGTCTTATACGTTTGAAGAAACAGGAACGTCATCTGTAGTGCTGGAAAACACATTAAATTTTGCTTGCTTTGTTTGATTAGATTAGATGCTTAGGAGGAGGAGGTAGTATGAAAAGCTAGATGCATTTCACAGTGCTATATTTATAAAGAAACAAAACCCAAAACATTTTGCTTGGTTCCAGAAATAATACCCTTTCTTAATCCTAGGCATACAAGTTGACGACTTCATACCTAAAATTAATGGGAGCACAGAGAAAGGTAGTGTATCTTTAGGCTACCTTTTGTCTTATGGTTGATGTTTGAAGCTGAACAAATTCAAAATGTTCTCTAACGTTTTACTTTGAATAGTATTCTCTTTTGAAAATGAAATTGAATTTGTCCACTCCTCTGACCAGCATTTTTTTGCTTAGGCTTTCAGTCTAGGGTTTTTTTGAAAGTTCTGTAAAACATAATGAGCCAACTTGGAAGTCGTCTTTTTTTTTTTTTTTTTTTTTTTCCTTTTTTTGGGCTCTCAGTGGAATCAGTAGGAGTCTACTGAATGATGTCAGGCTTGTGACACAACAAAGTGGAAAACTCATTGACTTTTTTCTTCTTAATTTTATTTTCCCTTGAAACACGATATATACCATTTTTCTAGTAAATTGAGTATGGTAAGTAAAGTCAGCAAAACACTTTTTTTCTAACTATAATGTATGAAAAAAATGTGAGAATATGAAATGTATAAATAGTGGAAACTAACTTTTTAAAACTCAGGAGTGTCTTTATGTAAAACAGGAATAAATTACAGATTGAACTAACAGATGGGTTTTTTTTTTAAAAAAGACCAATTAGTTAAAGCTAAGTATTTTAACTAATGTGTCTTAACATACACTTGAAGTTTTTTGAATAAAATTGTCTGATAAGAGTATGCCCAATATCACATAAAGCAAAGTTTATTCTAGTTATAATTCTAAATTCACTGGATTGTTCCATTGGCTAAGATATATTTATCCTCTTACATTAATTTTATTTTTTTCCTTGATGTAGCTTTCTTCAGTGTTTGCTGAGTCTTGCTAGATAGCAAAAGCTCTGAGGAATGGTGGTAGTATTAGTTGAGAAGGTTGGGGCACTTACAGAGAACTCGCAGTTTTAACTAATATTCACAGGGTTTACTGTATACATTTTTGAAACAAAATTTTTAAACTCTAATTCTTAGCTTTCTACTTTTTTGTATTATAAATAAAGAGCTTATTAGGGAGACAAATAGCAAAATAAAGGAAGTTAATCATGGCATAACCTCATGCATATTTCTTATTTGGAGCAGGAGGAGAGATCTGTTAAACACTGACAGGAACTGTACAATAATCCCCCCCCTTAATCTAAGTACTAGTTATCCCTCAATGTCTTAGCATTTTAGGCACTTAGCTATGATGCATGCTGAGATTAGCAAGCAGAAGACCTAATGTCTGTTCCCAGTTTTCTGGTTTTAGATAGATTGATCTATCTTGCTGATGCATGATTTAAGTTTGGTAATACTCTTAATGCTTGGTAGAGTAGTTAAGAAATAAATTTAGTTTAAACTTTAAGTCTTCCACCCCAGAAAATAGTTAACTTCTTTACAAAGCAAAACTTAAGTACTGTATAGGGATGGCAATTTTTCTTTTTGTTCTAATCACGTAAACAGTAAAATGACTTTGAAAGTTAGATTGTTGGAGGTTATTAGAAAAACATGGAATCCTGTGAACAAAAGTAGCTTAGAGCTAAATTAAAATGTTTAGTAAAAGCTTTCAAGCTTTGAGTGCAAATATATGTTGTTTTAGAGAAATAATCGCTATCGCACTAAATATGATTTTTTTTTTTAACAAGCACTTTTTTGTTTGTTTTAAAATTGTTGGCAGGAATGTCTTGTTAGTTTTTTAAATACTGATACCTCTTATCAGTCTGAGTTTAAAAATTGTCTGAAATATTATTTCAAATTTGAACTAATTATTATGTGATTATAACAAATATTGTATCACTGATATTTGCTTTTTTTGTGATGGTTGAAGAAGCAATCCCTTTTTGACTTATTTTGGGTTGCATAAGAGTTAAAATGCCATCTGGATGGATGCATGAAAATACAGATTCTGCCATCCTATGACTAACAGTCACATTTGTGCTTAAACCTGAGAATTTTAGGAAGCTGTCTGCCAATTTCTTTTTTTTTTCTGAATATAGACATAATGTAATTGCTTATTCAAGTTGTCTTTCTGTGTGTTTATACAGTCTATCACCTTTTTCTGTTGCGTATCTACCATGCTATTTTCTTATTCTATATTTTAGCAGTTTTCCATTATTCTCTCTGTTGTACCACATTCTTCTGCATCTCTGCTATACCTGGTCCATACATACTTCTCTGGCGTTTTAGAGCTTGCTGGCCTGTGTTCTCCTCATGACAGTCTTTGCCTTTCTGTATCTTCCTGTCCTTTGTCTAGCCCTCATATAATGACAGATGGGCAGTCTTTTTCTCTGCCAGATTTTGGATTTTGTTCTCTTGAAAGCAACGGGAGGCAGTTACTGGGGTTTTTTTGCTGAGTACTCTTGCATTATTTTAGAAAAGCTAAGAATTTAGGGGTTATAATGTAGATTCAGCAACTTGGGCAGTAAATAGAGGTTGTAGGTATTTTGTGTAAAGGAAAGACTTCATAGCTGAAGGCAGAAGTCAGAAATTCAAAATTTTTTTGTGTGCTATTTAGCCCGTAAGGGAATTAAAGAAGTCTCCTTTTTATCTGTAAAGGTATACATATACTCCCCCTGTCAGAGGAAAATGGTGGTAAAACCATGTAAAATCAGGATGCTTTAAGATTCCTTTTTGTCTTTTTATTTTTCAAAACTTCAGGTCAAGTCCTCAAGGTATGTTTACACGCATTTTACCTGGCTGTTGCAAGAACAAGGATTTTGCATTACTCTCTTCTGTGGCTGTCCCTAACATTAGAAGAGCTGTACTTTGAGTAGAGCAGCTAAGAACTCATGTTATAGTAGCTCTAGAGTCTTTTTATAATAAAGTGTATTAAGATGATGATTGTTAGACATTGATTTTCTCTCATTGCACATATGGAAATTCTGGTGCAGAAGAGAATAACTTGCTTATATATCAAGCCACTAATAAAGGTTGTGTAGAACTGAGTTATTTCAGTAAGTGCTGTGTTTTTCAGTGAGTTGCACCACACCTGGCCTTCATATTTAAGTTTTCTGAGCTGTATATTATGTAAAGAAAGATAGGAGAAACTTTGTATATAGTCACTTAGAGGATCATGTAAAAAGGCTTGGGGGAAAAAAAAAAGTTTAAATGTGGAAAATAAATGTTATAGCCATAGTGCTGTCTTTTAAAAACCCTGTTCTTGTGGGTTAGAAAAAAGTTTACTTTTTTAGAGTAACTTTGCAATATAGTAAAGCTTAGTATTACATATTTGATCTTAACAGCTAAGCGTCTGATATCAGAAGCTAATGATTGAAAGATTTCATTAAAATGTTATGCATTTAGCTGGTTTGGGTGCTAAAAAGCAGCCTTTTCAGTTTGTTAGACTCTTGAGGCCAAAGGAGTTTTGAGGTTCTTCAGAAAGGAAGTGTTAGCACCTTTTTACTTGAAGGTGCAAGGCTCTGGTGTTGGGAGCTCAGCAAGGTCACCTAGAAGGAGTTGGGTAAAGCTCGAAACTGAGCCCAGTTTTAGGATCTCTACAGTAGAACTATCCTCTCAAAAACTGTTGTTCCAGTGCAGTGAAACATTGTTTAAAAAGGAAAGGGAGATATTCACCAACACTTTCAAAATAAATGATTTTGCATTTCAAGAGGGTATTAGATATGAAGAATAAACATGAAGACTAAAGAAAAAATTACTAAGTGCCCTTTTAAAGCTAATAAACTGAAGAATATAGGTTAAATACACGTTTCTTATTTCTTCAGTGCTTGGATTTGGGATTTTCAATTATCCATGTCTGATTATGAATTAACTAAGGGGAGGAACTAGAGACATCAGTATTGCATGTTTCAGTAGTTTATCATATGTATTCTAAATTTATTGTGATTTACATATCACTTCTGTGCATTAATCTTTTTGTCAAAATTATGAAGCTGTCAATGGAAATTTAGTGGAAGTCATTTGTCACCACCTAACCTGAAAAACCAATACAATAAATGCCAAATGCAGAATGTTTGGACTTTTAATAATTGAGTCTTACTAAATTTTGTTAAATAAAGGTGTGTTTTTTTTTTTTAAAATAGCTTCTATTGAGGTAAGGGACTTATTATTATGCTTAAGAACTGCTATTAGATTTTGGTATTTAAAAGTACCCCTTTGAAAATGCAGTTAAAGTACTTCTTTCGTCTGATCCATTTAAGAGTAATCTATTTTCTCGTATCACTCAGACATCATTTCAATTACATGTCTTGTCTGCTTTGCATATTATCTCAGTTTTCAGTAGCTCACTGTAAATACACAATTACAAATATTGTTAATATACCTTTCACATTTTTGTTGCATCAATTTGAAAATGATAAGAAGATGTAAACTGAAGTGTTTCTTTTTTTACTAGAGCACTTTCTTTCAAAGAGTGGAGGGGACTGCACTTTTATTCATCAGTTCATAGAATGTCAGAGTGAGTACAAGAGTGTTCATCACATTTGCTTTAAAACAGAAAACCCAGAAAAGGTGGATAAAAAAGAGAATTTGTCACTACTATTTAAGATTTCTGTAGTAGCAGAAATTTTCTAAGCATGGAATTGTGGCATTGTGATATTAAGCAGATGCCTGCAGTTGTAAGAGGATAGTTTTGCTCTTGCAGAGCGATGATCACGTTCTCTCATCTTACAATTAATCCATTACTGTCCTCCAACCAATAAAAGGGTGGTAATGTTGCCACGTAATGTTTAAAACAGAGTGTAATTTTTCACCTCTTACAAAGAAAGAAGTTGAAAGCCTAACTGTCAGTTTAAGCAAACATTGCAGGCAGCAGTAGGACAGAGATAAGGTAATGATCCCTTTTCTTCATTCACATGTCTATAATTTGTCTGATAATTAAAGGTCTTACATGTTCTTCAAATTAGTTGTCACAAAGAACAAAAAGGAGAACAAGGCGTTAATCTTTTAAGTGGAAATCGAAGAGATTATTTTATGAAAAATAGAACAAATAAGCAATACCAATCTTCATAAAGATGTGTTATTCTGGAATAAGAAATGTCTTTCAAAGCAAATGACTTTTGAAATGAGTAATGAAACAGCCCAGTCTGCATATCTATAATTA